TGTGTCCTAGTTGCTGGAAGGTCGGGGGATGGGGGGGGGGTTAAGGGTTTTTCTTGATTATTCCCTTATTTTCTCTTTCCTCTTTCTTCTCTTCTTCTTCTTCTTCTCCTCCTCCTCGTTTTTTTCTTCTTCTTTTTGCCTTATTGGGGAATCATTTTGGTTCATTCGTCTGTCTTATCCTTTCTTTTAAATATCTTACATCCCTTTCCTTCACACCTTTTCTCTTTTTCCCTCACCCCTCTCCTCTTTTTTCCCTTCCTCTTCTCTTCTTCCCCCTCTTCTCCCCTTCTTCCTCTCACGCCTCTTCTTTTTATTCCCTCCCTTTTCTCTCACGCCTCTTCTTTTCTTCCCTCCCTCTTCTCCCCCTTCTTCCTCCCTCTTCTCCTCTTCTCTTCCTTACTCTCCTTCTTCCCTCTCCCTCTCTCCCCCTGCGTCTCTCCCCCTTCAACCCCCCTTTTTTGCTCACTTCGCCCCTCCCACCAACAGCTGTTCATCACCGCCATTGGCTCATTGGTTTTAGAGAGGGGGGGGGGGGTGATGGGGGTGGCCGGGATGGGGGTGGAGTTAGAGGTGATAAATTAATGTATCGTTCATGCTGCAGTTTTCAAAAAAAGAGGAGAGAGAGAGAGAGAGAGAGAGAGAGAGAGAGAGAGAGAGAGAGAGAGAGAGAGAGAGAGAGAGAGAGAGAGAGAGAGAGAGAGAGAGAGAGAGAGAGAGAAAATATATATACATCCATGCATATTTTCTCTTTTGCGTAATCATCTAGTTGACAACAATTTTAATGGGAGACTTTTAATTTCTCTCCTCCTTTCCCTCTCTACCATACATCCCATTTCCTTTGTTCCTATATATAATTCACAACCCTATTGATCAAACAGAGAGAAACTACGCACATACACACGCACACGCACGCATACGCACACAAAAAACACACGCACACACACACGAGCACACAGCGTGACCTGAGCGAGGGAATTATAGGTGTGACATGATCTACAACCCAACTTCGAAGTGCAGGTTGATGCCCTTTTATGGATCGGGAGAACGTAGAACACCTATATTCATTCTCCCCTTCTCCTTCCCCTCGCATTCCCCTCTCGCTTTCCCTTCCCCTTTGCATTCTCTTCTCCTTTTCCCCTTTTCCTATGCATTTCCTTCCCTTTCCCTTTACGTATTCCTCTCCTTTCTCCTCTCGCTTTCCCTTTCTCTTGCATTCTCTTCTCCTTTTCCCTTTTCCTATGCATTTCCTTCCTCTTTCCCACTTTTCCTTTCCCTTACATTTTCCCCTTCCTTCTCCTTGCATTTTCTTTTCCTTTCCCCCTTTTCCTTCCCCTTCCCGTTACATTTCCCCTCTACGTTCCCCTTGCATTATCTTCTCCTTTTTCCTTTCCTTTGCATGTCCCTCTCCTTTCCCATTTCCCTTATATGCCCCTCTTCCTTCTCCTACTAACCCTCTTCTGTTGTCCATTCCTCATCTTTCTTGGTTTATTCTTTCCCATACTTCTTTCGCCTTTCGCTTCCCTTTTCTTTAAATCTTCAATTTTCTCCCTTTCCACTTCCTCTTCCCTTCTATGTTCTTTCACCCGCTTCTTCTCCCTTTCGCTTTCTCTTCTCTTCCACTCCTCCCGCTACTCTCTATTTCGCCTTTCCACTCTCCCTCTCCTGTTTCTCTTCCAGTCCCCCTTCCTCCAGTCGTACTCTTCCCTATTCACTCCACCTAATCCCTTCCACTCCCTCCACCAATTCCACTCCTAACCCATTCTCCACCATTTCCACTCCCGAGCCTTACCCCCCTATCTTCCACTTCCGAGCCTTACCCCCCCTATCTTCCACTATCCTTCCATACCTACCTCTCCTTCTCCCTTCCTACCTACATACCCCTCCTTGGTACCCCCCCCCCCTCTTCCACCTCCCCATTCCACGGGAGACACGATAGACACAGAAGACAGAGAAGACACAAAAATATGGGAGAAGAGAAGACACAAAACACGGAAGACAGAGAAGACACAAATCACAGACAAAGAAGACACAAAACACGAGACACAGAAGACACAAAACACGAGACAAAGAAGACACAAAACAAGAGACAGAGAAGACACAAAACACGAGACAGAGAAGACACAAAACACGAGACAGAGAAAGACACAAAACACAGACAGAGAAGACACAAAACACGAGAGAAGACACAAAACACGAGAGACAGAGAAGACACAATACACGGAAACACGATAGACATGAAGACACGGAATAAACAGCAGACGAGGCTTGGGGAGGATATGGCACACAAAGGCAGACACAGAAGGCGTAGGAGGGACGGAAGACAAGGCGCGGAAGACACGGGACATATGGGGATAAAGAATACAGGGAATAAAGAAGAGATGAAAGAGGAATAAAGGAGAGGGGAAGGAGAAGGAGGAGAAGGAGAAAGGGGAGGAGTAGGAGGAGGAGGAGAAGGAGACGAGGAGCGGTAGGAGGGGAAGGAGGATAGGAGTAGGAGAAAGAGTAGGAGGGAGGAGAAAAGGAGGAGGAGGGATAAGAAGAGAAGATAAAGGAGAGGAGTAGGAGGAGGAGGAGGAGAAAGAAGAGAGGAAGAGGAGGAGAGGAATGAATGAGAGGAGGAAGAAGAGGAGGGATAGGAGGCGGGGCTCGTATGGCTCAGCACTCAAAAGAGGAAGAAAAAAATGATGGCATTATTTCAGAGCCATATGCTCCTTGCTTTTTTTTTTTCTTCTCATTTTTTCTCTATCTTTTTTTTTTTTTCTTCTTCTTTTCTTTCTCTATCTTTTTTTCTCTTTTCTTTTCATGTACGTACTTGTGTGTGTGCACGTACTGACACATACATACTTTACCTTCCCACACACACACACATACATTACCCCTCCCTCAAACATACACATGCATTACCCCTCCCCCCGCCCCCACACAACGCACACACACATGTCCCCTCAAACGTACATGAACCCCAATTCGACCGCTTAACCCCCCTCCTCCTCCCCTCCCCCCTCCACACACGCACACAAACTCGCCTCATTCTCGACTCCACTTACGCTCTCGCTGTCTTGTAATTCTGCTTCGCCCCCGAAACGGAAAACTTCCCATTAAATTCTCTTTTCGCAAACCTAAGGCATCGATTATTCATTTTTTCCTTCTTCCTCTTCCGCTTCTACTCTTTCTTTCAATTTTTCTTATGTTTTTTTTTTCCATTTCTATGAATTTCCCTTTTTCTTTCACTTTTTCCAAACATTCTTCTTCAGCCAAAAATCTTCTACCACTTCTACTTTCAAAAATCTTCCACACTATCTACTCCTTCCTCAAAAAAATTCTTTAAAAAATCTACAATTTCTTCCACTTCTAAAATCATTCATCCACTCTATCCACTCCTTCCAAAAAATCCACTTTATCCCCTCCTTCCCCCCAAAACATTCCACTTCTCCCACATTCTCTAAAAAAGATCTTCTACCACTTCTTCCACTTCCAAAATTCTTCATCCACTCCTTCCTAAAAAATCTTCCACTTAATCCCCTCCTTCCAAAAAAAACTCCCCTTGTTCCCACATTTTCTAAAAAAAAATCGTTTTACCACCTCTTCCACTTCCAAAATTCTTCATCCACTCCCTCCAAAAAATCTTCCACTTTATCCTCTCCTTCCCCTCTTCCCACATTTTCCATAAAAAAATCTACCACTTCTTCCACTTCCGAAATTCTTCATCCACTTCCGCCCCTTCCCCTCTTATCAGCTGTTCCCAAAAGCCTCGACTCAGCACTCGTAGGTTCGTCCTCCTCGAGTCGTGTGACTGTCGAGCGCAGTACCGCCTGGTCCGAGGGCGTCGAGCTGAGGGCGGCCGGGTCGACGCAAGGAGGGTCAGGACAATATGATAATGATGGTGATAAATGTGATGATGATAAAGATATTGATAATGATAATGATAATAATAATGATAATGATAGTAAAAACAATAATGATGGTGATAATAATAATGGTAAAAATAAAAGCAATAACAATAGTGATAGTTATAATATGATAAATATGATAATAATATGATATGATAATAAATATGAAAATAATGATAATGATGATATTAGTAATAATAATAATAACAACAATAAGAAAAATAATGATAGTTATAATGATAATGATAAATATAATGAAGGGGAAGAGAGGTCTTTTTGACAGAGGAGAGAGGGGAGGGAAAGGGTGTGGGAGAGGGAAAGAGGGAGGAAATCAGCTTTTTTTAACGAGGAAGAGAGGGAAGGGAAAGGGTGTGGGAGGGGAGAAGGAGGGAGGAAGTTAGGCTTTTTGAGAGAGAAGACAGGATAGGGAAAGGAAGAGGGGGAGGGGGCGAGGAAGGAAGAAAGTCTTCGAAACGTCTTAAAATGGTGGAAGAGATGAGGAAGAGGATTGAGTGAGAGTGAGGAATACAGTCCCCTTTTGACAGGAAGAGGAGAGGAGAGAAAGGGAAAAAAAGGAAAAGGGAGAAGGAAGGAAGACCTGGAAACGTCTTAATGGCGGAAGAGAAGAGGGGAGGGGGGGGAGGGAAGGAAATCAGTCTTTCAGGCGTCTTAATGGCAGAGAGGAAAAGGGGAAGGGAGGAATGGAAAGGGGTAGGAGGGGGCAGGGGGGGGGCTAAGACGAAAATCGAGAAATGATCTTGAAAAACGACATAAAAGGAAAATAACGAAAAAAGAAAATAATGTTTCATATCGCCATCACCACGAGGAACAAATCTCGAACAAAACGAAAACCAAAAAACAACCTAGTATGAGAGCCACCCCCCCCAAAAAAAAAAGAAATAAAACACAACCCTCCCCACCAAAAAAAAAAAAAAACACGCACACATAGACACACACAAATAAAACACATACACACACACCAAAAAATAAATAATAAAAAAAAGACACGACAAAAACAAGGAAAAAAAAAAAAAAAAAAGCCAAAAAGACCCCTAACGTCTGTGGTTCAAGTGCTTAAATAACGGCCGGCCTTAGCGAGGACCTCCATCTTTAAGATCTGGCAACATTTCGGAGTATGGCAAAAGTGGCGTTATGAACGAGTTTCCGGGGCAATATAGCTGCACATGATGGAGAGGAGAAACAGCCAACACCACAGTAACTTAGGGTGTGATTTAAATCCTCTTCTGGGTTCTTGGCGCCACGAGACGAGCGGGTTCGAGGGCGGCTCCGGGGATGGAGGAGGCGGCGGTGGCGTCGGAGGAGGCGTTGGAGTGTCGGGGTCGTGTTGTCGGGATGTCGTCGGTGTTGTCGGGGTGGGTTGTCGGGATGTCGGGGTGGGGTTGTCGGGATGTCGGGGTGGGGTGTCGGGATGTCGGGGTGTGGGGTTGTCGGGATGTCGGGGTTTGTCGGGATGTCGGGGTGGGGTTGTCGGGATGTCGGGTTGTCGGATGTCGTCGGGATGTCGGGATGTCGGGGTGGTGTTGTCGGGATGTTGGGGTGATGTTGTCGGGATATCGGGGTGGTGTTGTTGGGATGTCGGGTCGGGAGGGTGGGTTGTCGGGATGTTTGTCGGGATGTCGGGGTGGTGTTGTCGGGATGTCGGGTGGGTTGTCGGGATGTCGGGTGGTGTTGTCGGGTCGGGGTGGTGTGTCGGGATGTCGATGTCGGGTGGGGGTTGTCGGGGGGGGTTGTCGGGGTGTGGGTTGTCGGGATGTGGTGGGGTTGTCGGGATGTCGGGGTGGTGTTGTCGGGATGTCGTCGGATGTCGGGGTGGTGTTGTCGGGATGTCGGGTGGTGTTGTCGGGGTGGTGTTGTCGGGGTGGTGTTGTCGGGATGTCGGGATGGTGTTGTCGGGGTGGTGTTGTCGGGATGTCGGGATGTCGGGGTGGTTGTCGGGATGTCGGAGTGGTGTTGTCGGGATGTCGGGGTGGGACTGTCGGGATGTCGGGGTGGGGTCGGGGGGTGGGACTGTCGGGATGTCGGGGTGGTGTTGGGATGTCGGGGTGGTGTTGTCGGGATGTCGGGGTGGTGTTGTCGGGATGTCGGGGTGGTGTTGTCGGGATGTCGGGGTGGGTTGTCGGGTCGGAGTGGGTTGTCGGGATGTCGGGGTGGGACTGTCGGGATGTCGGAGTGGTGTTGTCGGATGTCGGGGTGGTGTTGTCGGGATGTCGGGGTGGTGTTGTCGGGATGTCGGGTGGGACTGTCGGGATGTCGGGAGTGGTGTTGTCGGGATGTCGGGGTGGTATTGTCGGGATGTCGGGGTGGGGTCGGGATGTGTGTGATGTCGGGGTGGGACTGTCGGGATGTCGAGGTGGTGTTGTCGGGGTGGGACTGTCGGGATGTCGGGATGGTGTGGCCGGGATGTCGGGGTGGTGTTGTCGGGATGGTGTTGTCGGGATGTCGGTGTGGTGTTCTCGGGGTGTCGGGGTGGTGTTGTCGGGATGTCGGGGTGGTGTTGTCGGAATGTCGGGGTATTGCAGTGGTGTTTTCGGGGTGATGCTGTCGTGGTGTTGTGATGTTGCAGCGTTGTCGGGGTGTTGTAGTCATGTTGCCGAGGTGTTGCAGCTTTGTCGGTGTATTGTAGTGGTGTTGTAGCGCTGTTGCGGTGTTGCCGTGGTGGTTTGGTGGTGTTGTTATCAT